GTTTTATTCATCTTTATGTGCTGATCATTTTCATTTATTTGTTACGATTCTCTATCTTTTTAATTCCACATAAATATTTTATTTTTTGTTTATTATATTCTAAATATTCTTTTATTTTTGTTTAATTATTTTAATTTAGAAGGAAATTTAAAAGTAATTTAAATGTAATTCAACTTTGTTAAGCAAGACCCTCATAATATTTTTTATAATTTGTAAATTTGTAATTCAAGTTTATTTTTCAAGTTTACGTTGTAAGTATATTTTTTAATTGTAATTTAAGTTTATTTTTCCTGAGTTATAATTCAAGTTTATTTTTAGGTTTTATTTAAAGTTTACTTTCAGAATTGTAATTTAAGTTTTAATTCAAGTTTATTTTTGTAATTCAAGTTTGTTTTTTTAATTATAATCTAGGTTTATTTTATGGCCGAATCGTAATTCAAGTTTATTTTTACAAGTTGTAGTGCAAGTTTATTTAATTAAACTTTAAAATATTTTTTTACAATTTGTAATTTGCAATTCATGTATATTTTTTAAGTTGTAATTTAAAATTATTTTTTCGATTTGTAATTCAGGTTTATTTTCTAGCTTGTTATTTAATAGGTTTTAATTAAAGCTTTTTTTCCGAATTGTATTTTAAGTTTATTTTCGTGAATACTAATTACATTTAGTATTCACTAATAAAATAATTTAGAAATTTACAATTTCCTAAAAAATGTAAAACTTAAAGACCTGTAATTTAAATTCAAGTCTAAAACATTTGTAAATATTTTTTTAATTATTTTTCTGATCAAATCAGAATAATAAAATAATTTTTTCATAAAAATCAGCCTTTGAATAACCAAATGCTTCATTTTCAAATTAAATAGAAAAGAGGTCGTTAAATTCTTTAAAATTATAATTCTTATAATTTTCATAAAAACATTTTTTGTGTGTTAATTTATAAAAACGAGGAAGAATAAACACAAAATAAAAATTCGTAAAAATTGTGAAATAAAATAAAATTTTTAGTCAAAAAAGTTAAAAAAGTTTTGTAAACAAAATTTTTACAAAAAAATTATTTTTATTATTTTCCTTTCTTTATTTTAAATTTTTTTTTTATTTTTAATATCTTTGCACAAGTACAAACACTTTCTCTCTTTATTTTTTAAAATGTGTATAAAACACATTTACACAAACAAACTTTATTTTCCTTATTTATATTGTATTAAAAATACAACTTGAAAAGAGAAGGTGATAAATCTGTGTATTTTAATATTATAAATTTGTTTAATAAATTTTCTCAACTGTATGTATTGCAATTTTAATTCAACCTTTTTACAATTCCGGAAATTTTGCGGAAATTAATTTATATAAACCTTTTCTGATTTTAAAGTTTATTTTTTAGTTATTCAGATTCTTCCGGAAAATTACTCATTAAACATGCTTTTCCGGAAACTTAAGTTATTCCGGAAATTTATTTTATTAAACTTCTGCTTCCTCTACTTTATATTAGGTTTTCGAAAAATTAATATAATCTTGCTTTGTAAAATAAGCCTGGAAAAATAACGTAAAATTAAGCCTTAAAATGTTCAAAGCTATTTTACAAATGCTCAGGTTTATTTTACAAATTCAAGTTTATTTTTACAATTTGCTAATAATTATTTACTAACACCCTTACTAATATTAAATAATAATCAAACTTTTTACAATTTTACAATCCCGGGAATTAATTTATTAAAAAATTATTAAAAATTAATTTTTCTGGAATATTTGCAGAGCTTGTTAATGGTACCAAGTTTATTTTTACAAACTTGTTTAAATTTTTAATAAATTAAGTTTTCTCTACATATAGAAAATTTTAAAAAATTTTCTTCCTTTAATTTTCTTCACCTTTTCAATTCAAAATTTATTTTTTAAATTTTTTATTGTTTTTGTTTGTTTTTCTTTTATTTTTTAATAGATTGGTAACCTGCTTTTTGTAAAAATTTTTAATTTTAACACCGTCTTGCCTTATTGCCTTTTACGCTTTTTATTTCCTTCACATTTTCTTGCGCTATAATTTTATAGTTTATTTTTATTTTTTCTAATTATACTTTTATTTTATTTTTAAAATTTTTAAATTATTTTTTTCTGATTTTTCTCATACTTTTATTCTTTCGAAACTTTAATTATTATTTTTTTTAAATTAAATTCTGATTTAGGAAGAGAATATATGTAATTCTGATTTTTTGCAGAACTAAAATTCTGATTTTATTTAACTAATATTTTGACTCCTCCGGAAATCAAATTCTGAATTTTCCGGAATTAAATAATTCTGATTTTTTTTATAATTCTGATTTTCTGTTTTAAATTAATTCTGATTTTAATTCTGACTTTTTTATTTTAAATTAATTCTGATTATACTTCTGATTTTCTTATTAGTAATTCTGATTCTGAAATAAAATATACTTCTGAAGCTTCCATAATTAAAATTCTGGTCACCCCAGAAATTAAATTCTGATTTTTATACGAAGTATAATTCTTAATATTTCTGACATAATTCTGAATTTAATTCTTCAGTAAACTAAATTCTTTTTTTCCTATTAAAATAAAATTCTGACTTTTCCGGAAACTTTTAAATAATTAATTAATTTATTTTTTATGTCTATTTTAAATAATTTTTTAAATTAAATTTTAATTATTTAAAATTTTTTTTTTATTTTTTTAATTTTTATTTTAATTTTTTTTGTTTTTTCATTTTTATTTTTCTCCTTCACCTTCTTTTTTCTATTTTTTTAATTTATTTATTTTTACTTTTATTATTATTTTTCTTAAAATTTTTTTTTTCCTTTTTGAAATTTTGCGCGCATTACACTATTAACTAAGCAGCCATTCATTTTTGCAATTTAAACAAAAATAAAAACAATTGCCCTTCTGTTGCTATGTTATTTTATTTTTTTATTGCAAAATTGCCTTTTGTGTCTATACAATGTCTTTGTAAATTAAAAAAAATTTTTTTTAGAATTTGTGTAAAATTGCGAAAAAAATGTTTAAAATGGGAGAGAAAAAAATTTAAAAATAGGAGAGGAAATATTTTTAAAAATAAAATAAAAGTAATAATGAGACAAACTTTGAAAAGATTTTAATCTTAAGGGGAAACCCTGCCTTTATTTAATTCGCATTTTTGGTTAATTTTAAAATTTTTGTTAGGAGAGACGTTAAAGTTCTGATTTTATATTTTGATATTTCCTAAAATTTTTATTCTTCCGGAATTATATTTATAATTCGTTCCGAAAATTAAATTCTGATTCTGAGTTAAAGTATAATTTTGCTTCCTTAAAAATTAAAATTCTGACTCTTCTGCTTTCAAAATTCTGATTTTCCTGCAAATTAATTCTGAGATAAAGTATAATTCTGATTCCTCCAAAAATTAGAATTCTGGCTTTTCTGTTGTAAAAATTCTGATTTTTCTGTTGTAGAAGTTAAATTCTAATTCTGATTGAACTGTCTTATTCTGAAATTAAATTCTGATTTTTCTGTTTTAAAGAAAATTTGACTCCCCTAAGTTCATAATTCTGATTCTTGCTGAAACAAAATTCTGATTTCTCAAGAAATAAAATTCTGATTTTTTTTCTGTGTATAGGTCTGATTCTACCGTAGTTAAAATTCTAATTATAAGCATTTTTCTTGCATAAAATACAAATTTTTTAAATTAATTTTCTGCTTTTCAACTTCCATTTTTTCCAAAAGAAATTAAATTAATTTAATGACGTTTATTTTTATTTCCATCTCAGGCTTATTTGGATACTTTCACTATTTTTTTCTGCAAAATCCAAAAATAATTTTTTGGATATTTTTTTTAAATTCACACGCTCCCCTTTTATTCTATTTTTGCAATTATTATAAAATATTATATCATTTCTGATTTGCTTTTAATTATTTACTTCGTTAATATTCTGAAAATGCTTACTGTATATTATAACAAGAAGCATTTTTATTTTTTATTCCATTTTACAATTTACATTTTCCGGAAAAAATATTAAATTTACAACTGTCCGGTAATTTATTTCCCTTCAGAAAAATCGGAATTTAAATTAACCAAAAATACTATTACATTCAGAATGGGGTTTGGGTTTTCGAATCGGGCCGGCGTTCGAGTCATTTTTATCAGGCCGGCCCGACTGTATCTTTATCGGGCCAAAATTCTTTCGGACCGGGCCGGATTGGGCCTCAGCCCTAATTCAGAATATGCATGTTTCCGGAAAAATCTTATTACAATTGTAATTTAAGTAGGTTTGCTTTGGTTTCCGGAAAAATAATTTGTATTTTTCCGGATTATCATAATTTTACTATGTAAAAAATATTTCAGAATTTAAATAATTATCAGAATTTATTATTACTTTTTCCGGTAAATTTTATTACAGAATAATCAGAATTAATGTTTCCGGAATTTGTAATGATTCCGGAAGAATGGTCACAATTGTATATTGCTTCTGTTTCCGGAAATATTTTTATTTACAATTTTTAATATTTCCGGAAATGATTTTCCGGAAACAAAATATAATTTATTATTTTCCGGATTATCATAATTTTACAATTGTAAAAATTTTCAAAATTTAAATAATATCAGAATTTAGTATTCATTTTTTTCGTAAATTTACTATTGGGCAGAAAGATCAGAATTAATAAAATTACAGACACTCAGAATTTATAATTAATTTTCCGGAATTTTTAATTTAAAATTTAATGTTTATTAAGTATGCTTTACTTAGAATTTCATAGTTTTTAATTAAAAATTTAAAAAGCCACAATTTCTATTTAGAATTTTTATTTATTCTCTTCTGTTTTTGTGCTCTAACTAAGCTTAGAATTACCGTATTTTCTCGATTAATTCCCCTCCCTCGAATAATTCCTCCCCTAGATTAATTCCCCATGCCAAGGAAGGGTTGAAACAATAATTCCTCGCCCTTAAATATTCCCCACCCCAAATACTCGAATAATTCCCCTCTCTCGATTACATAATTCCCCATGCCAAGGAAGGGTTGAAAAAATAATTCCCCAGGGGAATTAATCGAGAAAATACGGTATGTGTTTTTTGGCGTTTATTTTTAGCCAATTTTTGCGTTCCGCGTTTGGCGTATTTTAACAATAAAAATTGGCGTTTGGCGAACCACATGAAAATTTTGACGCACAGCCCTGGCTGTGAACTAAATACCACTTAACTTTTTTTGTTAAATGACACCTCTAGAATTTATTTATATTCTGTTTTACAATAACATTTGTGAACAAATAAGAGTACTTAAAATAATAAAAAACAATTTGTATCCCCTTTATCAACCTGAGCAATCTTTTCTTTACAAAAATTTTTTAAATGTCCAATTTTCTGAATTTTTATTTCCTTTGTATAGTTTAAAAACAAAGAAAGTTTGAATAGGTAAATAATTTGTGGGAAAATTTCTTTAAATATACCCTTTGTTATTTTTATAGATACCTTTATGTCTTTAAGTTTATATTATTTAAGCCTAAATAAAATTATAATTGCTTTCCGGAAATATTGAAAGTTATAATTGAAAGGAAAGATAATTCAGACATTCCGGATAAATCAGAATTTACATTTTCCGAAATTTTAGAATTTGCAACTATTCGGGAATACATATATAATAGTTTTACGGAAAATACAGAATTTACAATTTTCCGGAAACTTTTTTTACAAACTTTCCGGAAAAGTCAGAATTTATTTAACCAATAAATTACAATCCTTCCGGATATATCAGAATTTACAATTTATTTACTAATGAATAAATTTATAATACATACTTATTATTCCGGAAAAGTTTAATTTAATTATAGAAAATCATTTTTAGAGGAAAATGTCTTATATTTAGGCTTATTCTTTATTTTTTAAAAATATTAATTTTCGTGGGCATTAAAAAACAACAGATTTTATTAAATATACATAAACTATAAAAATAAATTAATTATTATTCTAAATATGACTTGGAATTTAAAAAAATTACCCTTCTATATTTAATATTTCTTAATTTATCTTATTTTCCAAATTTGGCTTATTTTTTTGCTCATAAATTTAATTATATTATTTTTTATTATTACTTCCTTTATTAATTTTTAATTAAAATTAATTTTTAATTAAATTGTATTAATTTAAATCATTAAACAAAGAAATTAATAATTAATTTAATAGCCTGAATTTTTGATGAATTTTGGCTTTTTTAAATTTATATATTTACACTTCCGTTTAATTTTCTTAAGTATTTTAATTTATTTATTTGAGTTAAAACTTGCTCGTTATCTTTGTGGAAAAACCAGAATTTACAATTCTAGGGTTTTTATTATATATTAGGTCAAGTTTATAATACCAGAATTTGTAAATTCTGGTTTTAAATTCTTCCAGAAATTTCTGATTTTTAAAGTTTATTTTGTAAACTTGACTAAGTTTATTTATATATTATTTTCAAGTTTAAAAATCAGAAATGAAAAATTCTGATTTCAAAAAAAATCAGAAATTGTAAATTCTGATTTTACATACCAAGTTTATTTTAAATTTATATAAATAAACTTGACTTGTAAAATCAGAATTTATATTTCTGATTTTTATAAACCTACTGGACTTATATTAAATAAACTTGACCAGGTTTATTTATTTTCAAGTTTAAACTTGAATTTTTATTAATAAACAAACTTGACCAGTAATTCACAATTGTAAATTCTGATTTTTCCGGAATGATTATACAAATTATATTTTCTGGTTTAATAAATAAACTTGGAAATAATTAAATTTAATTATTTAATAATTAAACTTTTTTCAACTCAAGTTTATTTAAATAAAACTCAAGTTTGCGATTTAACTATAAACACCTTTACACTTGTATTTTATTCAATTTTTATTATTTTTTAGTTGTTTTTAAAGTCTTTGGCAAAAAAAACATGTAAATAAAGAAAACTTTTTATTTTACTTATAAATAGCGCCTAGGCGGCATTCATTTCCCACCACCCACTGTTGCTACCAATTTTGCCACCACACACATATACTTAAGATTACCGCCGCTCCATTTAAAAAAATAAAAGGCTTTGATTGTAGTGTGAATGAGTGTGACAAGTACATAAAAAATAAAGTTTTTTAAGAGGAAGGTAAAAATAAAAAAAAATAAATAAAAATATGCTTATGTTGGCATAAATATTATTAGAATTTTCCTGCTTGTTTTTTTTCTGTTAGCTTTGTTGCTTTTAAACTTATTTAAAAATAAAAAATAAAATAAAGGGCGTTTGGGAAAATTTTTTTATTTTTATTTAAAAATTATTTTTTAACATTTTTTTATTCTTTATTAACTATTGGGGTAGATCGGCTTACGGCTGATCCACTTTACTAGCAGAAACAAATTAGCAATTAAAGATAACAAGAGCAAATAGCAACTCCAAAACCAAATCTGACCTAACAAGAAAATCTCAAAAACTTCATCTCTTTCTATCTAGGATTTCTTTATAAACTATGTTCGTGATCGTCCGATCACTTATTATTATATTTAGCTTACATTCATCATATTCCATAATCAGGTTCTCGAAACATTTGTTCATGTCGAAAGACCTTTTTTTAGAATCTATTCCAACTCTCTCATACTAAAACTAATACTAATGGAAATTGGTAGAGTAGTCCAAGACCGAAAAATTTTTAAGGCCAAGACTGAAAAAAGCCCAAGAGAAAAGTCTTGTGTCAAGACTCAAGATCAAGAGTCTTGGACAGCTCTAGAAATTGTATGTCTATCAGGGATATAGACGATCTAAAAATTCAATTCCCGATTTTCAGAAATCTGGTCGGCTTGATCCCCGATGTCTATGCAAAGGATATGCAAAATTCATTGAAAAACATTTTTTATTAAAGTAAAAAGATAAATAAATATGTTAGGGAAAATTTTTTATTTAAAAAATATTATTTTTGACATCTTTCATTTATTGCAAGAAACCCTTTTCTAATTATTCAAAATAATTTTCTAAAGTTTTATTTTTAGTAGTATAATAAAATTATTTCGTAATATAATTAAATGACACTTAACAATGTGTAAATAAAACAAAGTTATTAATCTTTAAGTTATTAAACACAAATAAAGTGGTTTTTAAATAAAGACATTAAAACACAAGTTTTTGTATAAATTGTGTTATTAAGATTAATGCAAAAGTCATGTTTTTAAACAAAATTAAAAAAACAATGTTCTATGAACAAACTTAATTATGTTTTTAAGAATGAACATAAAAAGCTTGTCTTAAAACATGCTTAAAAGTCGTGTTTTAGCACAAACTTAAAAACATGTTTTTAGAAGCCCGAACTTATGTTTTTAAGCCCGAACTTGTTTTTAAGCCCGAACTTATGTTTTTAAGCCCGAACTTATGTTTTTAAGCCCGAACTTAAAAACTTGTCTTAAAACATGTTTTGAAATCATGTTTTTAAAAAAGACTTAAAAACTTGTTTTTAAAACAACTTAAGTATCGGTTTTAAGAACACACTTAATCAAGCATGTTTTTATGTTAAACTTTAAATGATGGTTTAAGAACAAACACAAAACATGTTTATGAACAAACTCAAAAACCTGTTGTTAAAACTCCTTGAAAATTTGTTTTTAAAACAAATTTTGTTAAATCAAAATTGATGTTTAAGTCAAAAATTGAATGGAACAAACTTAAAAAATCATGTTTTCAACCCCAACTTAAAAAGATATTTTAAGAACAAACTTGAAAAATCATGTTTTCAACTCAAACTTAAAAAGATGTTTTAAGCCGAACTTAAAAACATGTTTTTAAACATTTTAAAAAACATAGTTTTAGAAAAACATTAAAGAAATGTTTTAAGTTAAACTTAAAAACATGTTTTTAAGAACGGACTTAAAAATTGTGTTTTAAAACAAACTTAAAGCAAACAACAAAACATTAGCAATTTATTTTTACAATTTTGGTTTTGCTAAAACTAATTGTAATTTAAGTTTGTTATTTATTCCGGAATGTTGATTTATTCGTGTTTTATGTTTACAAAAACAATTTTTTCTGATTTCTTAACAAACTCATTGGTCATCTATTTAATACCTCATTTTTTCACCTTTCACCCTATTCACTTCTATTTTTAATTTTTACGTAATACTTTTTTTTCTTCAAATAACTTTTATTTAATTTAATTATATGTCATTTTCAGATTATAATAATTAATAAAATAATAATAATATTTTAAAAACAAACAAAATTTTCTTTTGTTTTTGTTTGTCAAAAGCAGCATATTTTTTATTTAAAAATAAAATTTAATTATTTTCCTCTTTTGTTTACTGTTGACGTTAACAGCATTAATAAATACCCTTTATTTTGACAAAAACAACAACAAAAAAATAAAAAATAAACAACACAAATTATCACAAATTATTAAGCATTTAAAAGGCAATCTTTCATCATTTAAGATTATTTAAAGGGTTCAATCTCTTATTTTTTTATTTGGTTTGGAAATTATAAAGACAAATAAAAACGTGGCTATATAAATAATTTGACTGAGGAAAGGGAGAAACATTAAAAACATTTAATTTAAAAAAATATTTTTTAACAACTTTGTCTTGGCAATAAAAATTAAAAAGAAGCGTTGAGGAGGAATTAAGGTAATTTTCAAATTTGTGTTTTTAAAAGAAATTTTATTGTAAAAATACAAATATTTATACTTTGTGTTTTCAACCAGACTAGGACATGGATACGGATATGGATACAGATATTATAAAAATTCCTGCGGATATCCGTCTGTATCCGCCGTAAATATTCGGATACGGATACCAAAATCTGTGTCCTAGTCTGTTTTCAACTAATAAAAATAAACTTAAAAATTACAATTGCAAAAATAAACCGAAAAAATACAAACTAGAATTAAACTTGGAAATCACAATTCGTAAAAATTTAAAATAAATAAACTTGAGAATTACAATTGTAATAGGAGATGTCGATACAAAATAGACCTGGAAAATTACAATTATTGAAATTAAGCTTAAGAATTACAAACTCTAAAATTAAACTTGAAAAATACGGGTACAAACGCAAAATAATATGAATAATAAATAAGCTTGAGAATTATAACTGTAATAAATAGGGATAGCCGAAACATGCAAATGCATGTTACTATTCTGATATGCCTTGAATTGGGAAGCCTAAAAATAATGTTTTTACATATGTTCGAGCATTTTAGGGCCGGTTTTTTATGCATATATTTACATAGTTCGACCTTCTTGCAGCATATCTATAACTTGGCTGTCCCTAGTAATAAATTTAATAGATAATATTAAACTTGAATTTCAATTTCAAGCTTGGTTTAAATTTAATTTAAACTTGAAACTTTTACAATTATTAATCTTTTTACAATTTTTAAAAATAAATTTATTTTTACTGTTATTTAAATCCTATATATTTTTAGCTTCATTTTCTACCTAAAATCTGATCTCTTAAAAATTATTTCTCATTTTTAGAAAACAAATAAATGTTATTTTCGCCTCAACAGCTTTTAATGTTACAACAACAACAAAATCAGTTAAATACAGCAGCCCTCCAAGCCTGTCCAACAACCCAAAACACTTCCCCAGTTAATGGTATTATAAACATAGCAGCTTCGAAGGGAACATCCAACCTCAATATAGCTTCTTTCATTCAACAGCAACAACAAATGTCAGCTGCTACAATGTTGCTGCTTCAGCAACCAATGAAAAATGGAGGGGGTGGGGGGAAGGAATTAACAGGAGAATTAATGGAAGCTTCTAAAAAGGAGGAAAATGGGGGAAATTCTGATGAAAAAATAAATGAAAATATTATTGTGAAGAAGGAGGAGCAAGCGGATGAGGAGGAGGTTGTTGGGCAATTAAGTGAGGAAGGGGAAAGAAGGAAGGATTATGAAAAGAGAGAAATGGAAACGGAAGCAACTGAAGAAGGTAAATTAATTTGTTAAAATAAATTCGAAAATTACAATTGTAATTAATTATGGAGGAATAATAAAAATAATAAATTGCAATAATTGCGTAAATAAACGAAGACTGAAATAACATACCGTATTTTCTCGATTAATTCCTCTACAATTGTAATTCTAAATTAAAAATCAAATTAAAAATTAAATTTCCCTCCCTCCAATAATTCCCCATGCCAATTAAGTGTTTTTAAAATAATTCCCCAGGGGAATTAATCGAGAAAATACGGTAAATTGTAAATAGCAAATAACCTTGAAGTTTCAAGTTTATTTAAGATTGTTAATAACTCGATTTCAAGTTTTAATATATCTTTAAAAAATAAAAATATTACAATTGTAATAATAAGAAACAATAAACCTGAACAAAATAAGCTTGACAATTTCAATTGTAATAATTATATATTAAGCTTGACAATTACAATTGTAATTATATATGCACAAATGATAACTACAAGCGAATAGAATAGGTTTTTAAGTTTATTTTTTAGAATTTAAAAAATATGCCTAAATAAGCTTGATTATTACAATTGTAATTACAAATTAAAAATTAAACTCGTCTAAATAAACTTGATCAAAATAAACTTGAAAATTACAATTGTAATAAATAAAACAAAATTTCACAAGTTTTATTTTATTGTTTATAATACTTAAACAAACTTTGGGAGAAACCCCATTTCATTTTCCATTTTTGTTCAACCTTTAAAATTTGTTTGCTAACAAATTTCACCACACAATTTTATGATATATTTGTTTTAATTCATTTAATTTCCCTATTATTTTCCCCACAAAAGAAGAAGAACGCAAATCGAGCATGACTTGTTGTCAAACTACAACAACAGCTTTTTTGAAGCCTGAATGCTTCAGCTCCTTTTCTTCCTCATTCTCCTCCCCGGCAGCTAGTACAATGCCTGTGAGTGATGCCTCTAAAATAAACAATAAATACATAAATGGTGTTTGTCCACAAATATCCGGCGCGTCCTCCTATGTGGATAACAACAATTACAACAACAATAGTCAAAGGTGTGGAAAAGAAACTTTTTTTATTTTTATAGTTGTAATAATTAAATTAATTTTTAAATAAATTGTGAACTTTTTTTATTTAAAATAAGTTAGTAAATTTTTTACAATTACAAATTCAAGTTTATTCAAATTATTAAAATTGTAAAAAATAAACTTTAAATTAACTATAATAATAAAAGTTTTACAATTTTAATTTAAAATTGTGATTAAATAAACTTGAAAATTACAATTGTAATGAATAAATTTAAAGTTTATTTTTTACAATTGTAATAATTTAGAGAACTTGAATTTGTAATTGTAAATAAAAATTGAAAAAAAAACTTGAGTAAATAAATTTTACAATTTCAAGTTTATTTACAATTAAATTATTACAATTGTAAAAATTAACTTTAAATTGAATAAAAAGTTTATTTACTACAATTGTAATTTAAAATTGAGATTAAAATAAACTTGAATGAAAATAACGTTTAAATAAACTTGGAAATTACAATTGTAATAAATAAACTTTAAAATCAATTTCAAGTTTATATTTTACAATTGTAATAATTTAAATAATCTTTACTTAAATGACCGTAATTTTTTCTTTTTAGCTTAAATTTAATTGCCCGAACGCTAGAAGATAGTAGAATCAACGGTTGTGTTGATTGCATAGATGGAGTAAATTGTCATATGTTTATGATGGACGCTATGGATGATGAACACGTTAAACGGCCGATGAAGTGAATAAATACATTTACAATTAAAATTAAAAAAATTTTTAGTGCTTTTATGGTCTGGTCTAGGGGCAAAAGGAAACGCATTGCTACAGAAAATCCAAAAATGCACAATTCTGCAATTTCGAAACAATTGGGACATGAATGGAAGCTTTTAAGTGAGGTGGACAAACGCCCTTTTATTGATGAAGCTAAGCGATTGCGTCAGTTGCACATGTAAAAATTTAATTAAAAAATATTAACTTGATTTTACAAAAGTAATGAAAATTATTAAAATTACAAAATAAAAACAAATTGTAATAGGTAAAACAAACATGAAAATTTTTACAATTTAAAAGCAACTTAAAAACATCGTTATTATTATAAATAAATAATATAAAATTTAAATTGTGAAATCAAACCTATTAATTCAAATGCAAAAATAAACTTGAAGTTACATAAACCTAGAAACATTGAAATTACAATTGTAAAATCAAACAAAAATAAACTTGAGATTACAAGTGTATAAAAATAAACTTTAAATTCTGAATTTAAATTAATAAACTTAAAATTACAATTGCAAAAAATAAACCTGAAATTACCATAAAAACTATAAAATACAAATGTAAAATCAAACAAAAATAAACTTGATACAGTCAAATTTATTTATTTATAGGCAAGAACACCCCAATTACAAATACCGCCCCCGTCGGAAGCCTCGTCAACATCAACATCAACAACACATGTTACAACATCATCAACACACTTGTCATAATTCTACCAATATTAAATGCCCCATACCAACAAAAACAACAACAAATACTTCCCCCCAACAATCTCAAAAACATCCTCCTCCATTCTTCACTACAACTCAGCAAGTTTCTTCAGCACCTTTTGGGGGTGGAGAAAAGTCGGCTCCTTCAGCTTTTCCTTTGGGTAGAATTAAAAAAAATATTTCAAATATTTTTCTTTTAATTTTAAGCCCAAATTCCTCATTTACCATTTATTTTGCCCTCTACTTCCTCTCAATCATCACAACAACATAATGCACCTATTACGGCCCCATCTCATTTATTGCCTAATCTTCCCTTGTTGATGAGTGGGTTGATACAGCAATATCAACAACAACAGGTGAATCTTGTTTCAGAATTTATGATTTTTTTCAGAATTTTCTTGTTTTAAAAATTTTCTGATTTTTTTTCGAATTTTGCTTATTTTTCAGAATCATTTTCTGATTTTTCGGAATCTTCATATTTTTCAGAATTTTGATATTTTATAAAATTTTTCTGTTCTCTTCCAGTTTATGCGTCCAAACAAATTTTATGCATCCAATAATACAGTTAAGTACTCGGTTCTGCGGTTTAGAAGCCATGCTCCGGTAGAGTTCGAGTTGTACTATAACTCTGGGTGAGTACACCTTTCTTTTTCACATAGATTTCGTGGTACTGAAGTAGGTATGTATGAACCGGATACTTTTCGGCATTGATTGGACGCATTAATGGACGCTTGGACGTTTAGACTTTTCATTAGACGATAAAGGACAAGAGTTTTTTTATTTTTAATAAATTAGAAAAAATTTTTTCAGTTTTCCAACGGAAATTTACTCTCTTCACCTCCACCCTCATTTCATCCTCCTCAACCTTCCTTAAACTTAACGCCCAACTTTGGGTTGCCTGCTTCATTTAATAATAATGGTTGCAACAAAATGCCCATACCTACAAGTGCTTCAGGTTTTGGAGCAACCGATCCAACGGTAAATTTCATTATTAAAAATTCGAATTTAAAGTTATTATTTTTAGCAATTACAACAACAATTACAAATGTTTATGGCTGCTGCTTTGTTGTTGCAACAACAACAACAATGAAAAAAAACCTCTTAAAAACATTTGTTTTTATGTTGTTTTAAGTTTGAACTTAAATATGTTTTTCCGGATTGGAATATTTTTTTCTTTTTTTCCGGAATGTGTAATATTATAATAAGCTTCCGGAAAGTTTAATTGAATGAATACAATTTTCCGGAAAATTATAAAATATATTTTCCGGAATTTATATAGTTCCGGAAAGTTTACTATTATTTTTTATGTTTCCGGAAAATTAAATAAATTTCTTCTTCCGAAATATATTTCCGGAATGGAATTTTTTTCGCTTTTCCGGAAAGTGTAATATTCTAATAGGCTTCCGGAAAGTTTAATTGAATGAATACAATTTTCCGTAAATAAATTCCAAAAATTTTTCCGGAAAATTATAAAATATATTTTCCGGAATTTATATAGTTCCGGAAGTTAGTTCCGGAACTATTATTTTCTATATTTCCGGAAAATTAAATAAATTTTTTTCTTCCGAAATATGTTTCCGGAAAAGTCACCTTCCGGAAAGAATAGTACTTCTATTATTTTATATTTCCGGAAATAGAAATTTTTAAATACATTTCCGGAAAGTTGAATAATTTATTTATATTTCCGGAAACTTTAATAATATTTTATATTTTTCCTAAATTTATATGTTCCGGAATGTTTATATTATTTTTTGTGTTTCCGGAAAATTAAATAATATTTCCGGAAAAGCTACTTTCCGGAAAGAATACCTCTATTATTGTATATTTCCAGAAATAGAAAAAGTTTTTAAATACACTTCCGGAAAGTTGCATATTTTATTTATATTTCCGGAAACTTTAATAATATGTATTTCATATTTTTCCGGAACACTTAATATTACACTTCCGGAAAATTAAATATCATCTAATTAAATACCTAAAATTTATATATTTTTTAATTCGGTGTAAATCTCAATAATTCTGATTAAACATCTTTAATTTAATTATTTCATTTCTACAATCATCTTTGGCATTCTTCACATTGTCTATTTATACTTGCCAATGAGTCAATTTTCTCTCATTGTTTAACTTGGCCAATATATTTTGTTTTTGATTAAAAACCTCTTCTGATTTGACCTCTTGTTTGTCTCTCACTCTCGAAATATTTTTTCCGGTTTTCCGGATTTTCAAGTTTTATTGTTTTCCGGAAAATTATTTTTAATACATATTTTATTCAAACAAACTTTCCGGAAAGTTTATTTTCCGGATTTTTTTCAGCTTGTATTTCCACTTCCGGAAGGTTTATTTTTATATACATAGATGTTTCCGGAAATTAAATTTACTAATATAATTTGTATTTTACATTAATGTGTTTTGCTAACATTTTTTCATGTTTCTATGTTTTTATGATTTACTTTCTAAATTTGCACTTTATAAAGCGGTCTATAAAACATGACTATTGATAACGTGCAGATTCCAACGTCTCTTTCCTTTTCGTCATGTTCATAGTATGAAACATTTTTCAAAGACTATAAACTTCAAAAAATTCTGCTCGCAAAAGTTGATACTGTCTTGTTTTGCTTGAAGGCAATGTAGACATTCATCATAGTAGATGATCAGCATCAATATGTGCAAATAGATGTTTTGCTTAATTATATTACTCTTTTTTTCAATTGAATATATGACATATTCTGGAGATGAAAGCATAGCTATAATAGTGAAGATTACTTCAGAACATTTTAACTCGACTGATTTGATCAACATTTTGGACAGATGTGGTTCAACAGGGAATTCATCCATTAAAGAACAATTTGAGTTAAATTGCCATTAGTATCGATTGCGCCCAATAAATCCAATAATTATTTGGCACGGTGTGCATATGATTGCGAGGGCGGGTCGATATAATCGAAATGAATCAAATCGTTTATTTCCATTTTTTTCAGCTGTAGGAAAACATTTGCCAAATTTACTCGTTGTATCTCTGGTACCGTCTGTTTTTTCTACTTTCAAAATATTCATGAGTATATAGTCGGTAGCATATACAATAATTTGTTTTCCCCGCTCTCCCAGCCCTTTTTACTTCTGAAGCCTTTGATATTGGCGATAAAATGAGTCTATCGACTTATCTTATTTATTTTTGCAAAACCACAATCTATAATAAATATTATGTTGTCAAGCATAACTGAATTTCCGAAATATTTGTTGATACTATACATCTTCGGTATATGCCGCTTTGGTTGTCATATTCTGGCGTTTCAAACTCTTTTGATTGTTAAAGTATAAATTCGTGTATAACGGTAGACAAACAAAATCTCCTAATTCTTTCCCAATATTTCAAATTTTTTTTAAATTTAATGCATGCTTTTTCAATTTCCTCTTGTCCTGGCAAGAAAACTAAAATATTACTCGGAATAAAATAACAATCAATTTCAACAAACTGGACAATTATTAAAATAATTAATAAATTTAGGTGCATGTAGAGTTGCACTCATTAAAACAATTTTTAAATCATTTCTTTCTTTACTAATTTTCTTAAGCAGGCTCAGAAGTATATCATACGAAACTGTTCTCTCATGAGCCTCGTCAATAATTATAATAGAATATTGATCGTCGCTTATTTGTAATTGCTTCTTTCAGTAGCATTCCATCAGTGCAATATTTTAAAAATTTGAATCACTAGTTTGGTCATAAAACCCGACCTTAAATGCAACAACATGTTGGCCCAACGTATATAGTCGGTAGTGGCTCATTTGTTTCTTGTGAGCCACTAGAGCCACTACCGATATGAGCCACTACCGAATCTTATGAGCCACTACCAATAAGTGGCTCATTTGTTTCTTATTCAATTTGCAGACTGTAAAAGAGCCTATTGTAGTATAATAGACAAAAATAGAAAGCAATTGTTTAGTCTGATATAAACAACAAATTCGTTCTACTAATATTTCTCAAGTCCTTGGAACTGAGCCAATTTTCTGAAATTTGACTGTTTACTACCAGACTAAACAATTGCTTTCTATTCTTGTCTATTATACTACAATAGGCTCTTTTACAGTCTGCAAATTGAATAAGAAACAAATGAGCCACTTATTGGTAGTGGCTCATAAGATTCGGTAGTGGCTCATATCGGTAGTGGCTCTAGTGGCTCACAAGAAACAAATGAGCCACTACCGACTATATACGTTGGGCCAACATGTTGTTGCATTTAAGGTCGGGTTTTATGACTAAACTAGTGATTCAAATTTTTAAAATATTGCACTGATGTAATGCTACTAAAGGGTATACCCCATTTACCGCCGCCCAATTTACCGCAGCCTAAAAATTGTGTAGAAAAATTAAAAATTGGCTATTTGTCCGATCTCAAAATTTGACCTTACTAGCTTTGTTTACTTTTTTAGATTAGACATTTGTTTTTTTTGCACTTTCATATTGCGCTCTTTAAAAATCAAAGGGAAATTTTCAAAATCACCGGAAATTAAAAGGGCTTCAGTAGCTTTCAGTAGCATTCCATCAGTGCAATATTTTAAAAATTTGTTTTTTTCCATCAGTGCAATATTAAAAAAATTAGAATATTTTTTTATTTTTTTCCGGATAGTGTGATATTCTAATAAGTTTCCGGAAAGTTTGATTAAATGAATACATTTTTCCGGAAAATTATAAAATATATTTTTTCCAGAATTTATATAGTTCCGGAAGGTTCACTATTATTTTCTATATTTCCGGAAATTAAATAAATTCTTTCTTCCGAATTATATTTCCGGAAAGTTGAATAATTTATTTATATTTCCGGAAACTTTAATAATATTTTATATTTTTCCGGAAATTATATAGTTCCGGAATGTTTACTATTATTTTCTATATTTCCGGTTAAGTAAATAAATTCTTTCTTGCTAAAATATTTCCGGAAAAGTTACTTTCCGTAAAGTGTGTAATATTAGTATTTTATATTTCCGGAAATATCAAATTTTTAAATATATTTTCGGAAAGTTGAATAGGTAATTTATTTATATTTCCGGAAACTTTAATAATATTTTATATTTTTCCGGAAATTATATGTTCCGGAAGTTTACTATTATTTTTTGTGTTTCCGGAAATTCAAATAAATTATTTCTTGCGAAGTATATTTCCGGAAAAGTTACTTTCCGGAAAAAATATTATACTACTATTGTTGTATACTTCCGGAAATAGAAAAGCTTTTTTAAATACATTTCCGGAACTTTTAATATTTTATTTATATTTCCGGAAACTTTAATAATACATATTTTATATACTTTCCGGAACATTTAATATTATACTTCCGGAAAATTAAATATCATCTAATTAATTACTAAAAATTATATATTTTTAAATTCGGTGTAAATCTCAATAATTCTGATTAAACTTCTTTAATTTAATTATTTCTTTTTTACAATCATTTATGGGCATTCTTCACATTGTCTATTTATACTTGCCAATGAGTCAATTTTCTCTCATTGTTTAACTTGGCCAATATATTTTGTTTTTGATTAAAAACCTCTTCTGATTTGACCTCTTGTTTGTCTCTCACTCTCGAAATATTTTTTCCGGTTTTCCGGATTTTCAAGTTTTATTGTTTTCCGGAAAATTATTTTTAATACATATTTTATTCAAACAAACTTTCCGGAAAGTTTATTTTCCGGATTTTTTTCAGCTTGTATTTCCACTTCCGGAAGGTTTATTTTTATATACATAGATGTTTCCGGAAATTAAATTTACTAATATAATTTGTATTTTACATTAATGTGTTTTGCTAACATTTTTTCATGTTTCTATGTTTTTATGATTTACTTTCTAAATTTGCACTTTATAAAGCGGTCTATAAAACATGACTATTGATAACGTGCAGATTCCAACGTCTCTTTCCTTTTCGTCATGTTCATAGTATGAAACATTTTTCAAAGACTATAAACTTCAAAAAATTCTGCTCGCAAAAGTTGATACTGTCTTGTTTTGCTTGAAGGCAATGTAGACATTCATCATAGTAGATGATCAGCATCAATATGTGCAAATAGATGTTTTGCTTAATTATATTACTCTTTTTTTCAATTGAATATATGACATATTCTGGAGATGAAAGCATAGCTATAATAGTGAAGATTACTTCAGAACATTTTAACTCGACTGATTTGATCAACATTTTGGACAGATGTGGTTCAACAGGGAATTCATCCATTAAAGAACAATTTGAGTTAAATTGCCATTAGTATCGATTGCGCCCAATAAATCCAATAATTATTTGGCACGGTGTGCATATGATTGCGAGGGCGGGTCGATATAATCGAAATGAATCAAATCGTTTATTTCCATTTTTTTCAGCTGTAGGAAAACATTTGCCAAATTTACTCGTTGTATCTCTGGTACCGTCTGTTTTTTCTACTTTCAAAATATTCATGAGTATATAGTCGGTAGCATATACAATAATTTGTTTTCCCCGCTCTCCCAGCCCTTTTTACTTCTGAAGCCTTTGATATTGGCGATAAAATGAGTCTATCGACTTATCTTATTTATTTTTGCAAAACCACAATCTATAATAAATATTATGTTGTCAAGCATAACTGAATTTCCGAAATATTTGTTGATACTATACATCTTCGGTATATGCCGCTTTGGTTGTCATATTCTGGCGTTTCAAACTCTTTTGATTGTTAAAGTATAAATTCGTGTATAACGGTAGACAAACAAAATCTCCTAATTCTTTCCCAATATTTCAAATTTTTTTTAAATTTAATGCATGCTTTTTCAATTTCCTCTTGTCCTGGCAAGAAAACTAAAATATTACTCGGAATAAAATAACAATCAATTTCAACAAACTGGACAATTATTAAAATAATTAATAAATTTAGGTGCATGTAGAGTTGCACTCATTAAAACAATTTTTAAATCATTTCTTTCTTTACTAATTTTCTTAAGCAGGCTCAGAAGTATATCATACGAAACTGTTCTCTCATGAGCCTCGTCAATAATTATAATAGAATATTGATCGTCGCTTATTTGTAATTGCTTCTTTCAGTAGCATTCCATCAGTGCAATATTTTAAAAATTTGAATCACTAGTTTGGTCATAAAACCCGACCTTAAATGCAACAACATGTTGGCCCAACGTATATAGTCGGTAGTGGCTCATTTGTTTCTTGTGAGCCACTAGAGCCACTACCGATATGAGCCACTACCGAATCTTATGAGCCACTACCAATAAGTGGCTCATTTGTTTCTTATTCAATTTGCAGACTGTAAAAGAGCCTATTGTAGTATAATAGACAAAAATAGAAAGCAATTGTTTAGTCTGATATAAACAACAAATTCGTTCTACTAATATTTCTCAAGTCCTTGGAACTGAGCCAATTTTCTGAAATTTGACTGTTTACTACCAGACTAAACAATTGCTTTCTATTCTTGTCTATTATACTACAATAGGCTCTTTTACAGTCTGCAAATTGAATAAGAAACAAATGAGCCACTTATTGGTAGTGGCTCATAAGATTCGGTAGTGGCTCATATCGGTAGTGGCTCTAGTGGCTCACAAGAAACAAATGAGCCACTACCGACTATATACGTTGGGCCAACATGTTGTTGCATTTAAGGTCGGGTTTTATGACTAAACTAGTGATTCAAATTTTTAAAATATTGCACTGATGTAATGCTACTAAAGGGTATACCCCATTTACCGCCGCCCAATTTACCGCAGCCTAAAAATTGTGTAGAAAAATTAAAAATTGGCTATTTGTCCGATCTCAAAATTTGACCTTACTAGCTTTGTTTACTTTTTTAGATTAGACATTTGTTTTTTTTGCACTTTCATATTGCGCTCTTTAAAAATCAAAGGGAAATTTTCAAAATCACCGGAAATTAAAAGGGCTTCAGTAGCTTTCAGTAGCATTCCATCAGTGCAATATTTTAAAAATTTGTTTTTTTCCATCAGTGCAATATTAAAAAAATTAGAATATTTTTTTATTTTTTTCCGGATAGTGTGATATTCTAATAAGTTTCCGGAAAGTTTGATTAAATGAATACATTTTTCCGGAAAATTATAAAATATATTTTTTCCAGAATTTATATAGTTCCGGAAGGTTCACTATTATTTTCTATATTTCCGGAAATTAAATAAATTCTTTCTTCCGAATTATATTTCCGGAAAGTTGAATAATTTATTTATATTTCCGGAAACTTTAATAATATTTTATATTTTTCCGGAAATTATATAGTTCCGGAATGTTTACTATTATTTTCTATATTTCCGGTTAAGTAAATAAATTCTTTCTTG